AATTATTTAAATAATAAATTAAATTTTATAAAAATATAATATAAAAATATTATCTCAAAATCATTTTCCCGCCCCCTCATATATTGTCCAAAGTACCGTATTATAGGAAGGAAAAAAAACATGTGGTGGAGCGGATTTCTCCTTCCGAAACCGTACAGTGGCGCCAAAAATTCATTTCCCGCGGAATAAAAATAACGCGCCAAACGTTGGCTCCGCGCTTAAGTACTCAAAAAATACGGCGCCGCGCATCGAACTCGGTCAGCATTCAGCAGCTCTTGCACCTCCGCAGCCATTGCCGCTTCAACGCCGGCCACGACGACGACGACGACTATGTTACTCCGGCGCAGAGCTCAAGCTCCGAGATCCTACTCTAAAGTTACGTACGTAAGCGACAGTGAAAGCTACGACTCCGATTGCGACGACACCCGCTGTCAGAAATGTGGGTCCGGCGATTCTCCGTCGAAGCTTTTGCTGTGCGACAAATGTGACAAGGGATATCACTTATTTTGCCTTAGACCCATTCTCGTTTCTGTGCCCAAGGGCTCTTGGTATTGCCCTTCCTGCTCTAAGATCAAGCGGCCTGAATGTATGTTTCCTGCTCTTAATCCCCTCTCTAGATTCAGTTTTTCTACTTCAATGGTTGATTTCTTTGATTCGCATTTAGAGAATTCCATAGATATAATCATTTGCTCTATTGGGTCTATGAAGCATTATTATTATTTTTTTTCTATATTTTATGGTGCAATTCTTGAGATTAATTTTGTGGATTTTAATGTTTCCCAGAATAATTTGGGGATTCTGGGTTTATGTTTCTGATATTGATGTTTAAATGCATATGTATTTTATTTCTCTCAATTCCCATATTAATTTTTGGGAACTTTCCTATCTGTTGCAGCTTTCCCTCTTGTTCAAACTAAAATTGTTGATTTCTTTCGAATTCAAAGGAACCCAGAATCACCCGAGATGCTGAGTCAGGGTGAGTTAAAAGCTTATCTCTTGGGACAATCAAGTTTCAATTTTTAGTCTTTTGATTTCAGTCTTTCTCATGTTGAAATTGATGGTTATTTTGGGTTCTCAAATTTTTCTCAAATTTTTCTCAAATTATTCAGATAGTCTGAAAAAGCGAAGGCGTCCTAGTGGCATAGCCATGTCGAAAAAGAAGAGGAAACTATTACCATATATTCCAACTGAGGATTCTCAGAGAAGAATGGAACAAATGGCATCACTGGCGACGGCACTGAGTGCTTCTCGAACAAGATTCAGTAACGAGCTCACCTATAGGTCTGGCATGGCTCCAAGATCAGCCAATTGTGCCACTCTTGAGAAAGGGGGAATGCAGGTAATTGAACTGAAGCACATTGTCTTGAGGAGAAAATGTTCACATTGTCCAATGTGAAACGAAGTATTTTACTTGTGTGGATTGTTAAACTTAAATAACTGGTCATGTGGTGACCCTTTCAGGTTTCGCTTTGGGAAATTGGTATTTTAGTTCATTAATATTGCATAGTGTTAATTTAGGAAACACCTATGAACTTTTATAAATAGTAAGGCCTCTTACCAATTCCTAATTGGCTTTAGGTTGGGGACACCTTTTACAGCATAGGTATATGCTTATTTTTAGCGACATACTTATGTTAAGATCTAAGAAATTTGATCAAAATGCATTTCAGGTTTTGTCAAAAGAAGATACTGAAACCTTAAATTTATGCAAAAAGATGATGGAAAGAGGGGAATGTCCTCCTTTGATGGTTGTTTTTGATTCCAATGAAGGGTATGTATCTTGCACAGCTTTTGCTCCTATTTTTTTATCTCGATGTGCACATTTTAATCCTAAGCTTGGCTTGGTTATTTGATTTGAAACAGGTTCACAGTACAGGCAGACAGAGGTATAAGGGACTTAACAATAATCACTGAATATGTTGGAGATGTTGATTATTTAGAGAAGCGTGAGTATGATGATGGAGATAGCATGATGACCCTGCTTTCCGCCGCAAATCCTTCAAAAAGCCTTGTCATTTGTCCTGACAAGCGAAGTAATATTGCTCGTTTTATTAGTGGCATTAACAATCACTCTCGGTAAGTTTGGCTCCATTAAACATCTTAAACATCTAGCAAAGTTAAAGAGATTAGGCATCGGTTATTGTTATTTGGCTAATAGGCAATAGGGTTATTCGAATGCATCAAGAACATAATGGACCTGCATATATACTGCTATGCTTTATTAGGCTCTGGCTTTGTGCCATAACACTGTGTCTTCATGCAGGGAAGGGAAAAAGAAGCAAAATCTAAAATGCGTAAGATTCAATGTAAATGGTGAATGCCGGGTTTTGCTGATTGCGAACAGAGACATACGGAAAGGAGAAAGATTATACTATGATTACAATGGATATGAGCATGAATACCCTACTGAACACTTCGTGTAGCCTCCTTGTTGTGGCACTGATCCCCTCACTTAGATTAGGATTAACAAGCTAATTTATACACAAATGCTTGTTGATCGATGGTCCAATTGTGCTGAACCTGATTTTGGGTATCTTTTTGAGTGAATCCAGAAAGGGGTTCTCATTTTGAATATCATCATCAGCTAATGCTGCCACAGTTCTGAACATGTTTTTGTCTAGTTTCAGCTTTGGTGTATGCTAGCGATTGCCTGGGCCTTACCATCAAAAGCCTTTATGTTTTTTGGATTCAAGAAAGTGGGGGTGTCTTTTTTTTTTTTTTTTTAGACCAATTTAACAGGCTCCAAAGGCTTTTCTCCTATGATGGAATTCTAGTACTTCAGAGTTGAGAGACCCCTTCACTACCTCACCTTAGGGCTTGTTAAAAAGTAATTTTATTAGAAAAGTTTTTATCAAGAAAGTGGTTAGGAAGTATCATATGCTAGTGTTAACAAGTGGGTTGTTAACTTTTATGTGTTTAATAAGAAATTAATATAGGAAAAATGGGTAGAAAAATTGTTAAGTGGGTTTTATACGGGCATAGGCAAAGTTGAGAGAAATTTTTTTTTTT